CAGACCATTTCTTGATGTTATAGAAAGGTAGCATATTCTTCTCAATTATTTTGAGACCTTGAGCGTTGGTCCGGCCGGGGCTCGAACCCTCGACCTCCCGCACAACAGTCCAGCGCTCTATCCATTGAGCTAACCGGGGTGCGGTTTGATACAAGCTGTTATCGCAAATTTGCGTCGATGCGACTGTAAGGAAAATCATACTCAACAGCTGACTACCATGACACCTTAAGGATCATGTTCATGTTTCATCTCTCTAGTAACTGATAAGAACTGTTTGTATGTATTAAAGACCTTGATGATCGTGAATGCGCTTCTTTATACTCGTGGATGTGCGACGGAAACGAACGGGTGATTTACATGGCATTCGAGTGTCAGCATGCCCTAAGGAGTCTGGGGAGAGCATGCATCGCATTAAAGACTATGGACTGGCAGGGTGGACCATGTAATTGGGGAGAACCATTGAGTGGGTGAAGGCTAATTTAGGGAGGTTTTTTTTACATGTAATGCAGCATAGCCCATCAACAAAATTTGACCTTCTTTTGATTCCTTCTTAAATCTTATCAGTTTATTTTGCAACCTGGCTGAGAAAACTTAACTACCTGTATATATAACACAGTGCACGCAAGTAAGATCATGTGTTCTTTTTCTTCTTTTATATTGAGATATTTACCCTTCACTCTGGAGTCGTGGCAGAAAGAAAACTGCTTGATACTAAAAAAAATTTAGATATTAACAGGGGAATGTAACATCTGGCCTTCAGCACTACACTACCATCCTAGTAAATTTGCAGTTGCCATGTATGACACCTACGACCATAGTTAGTAGAGGGGGACTGGGTCCCCCTCTACTAACTATGTTACGACTCAACAAACCAGTGCAAAACAACTAAGAGGTGGCCTTGAAAAAAATCAACTTGATAAGTTTTGTTGAAAAAGTGACAATCTGCTGAAGGGTTTAAATCTAAGATGGACCACCAGCAGATGTTTTCAATGATCAAACATCTGGATGTGTATCCAAGAATCTTTTTTGTAAGGAGGGGTTCAAAATTCGATTCAGAAAACATTGAATTTTTTTACTCTATAGCCTGAATAGACTTATTTCAAAATGTACCATTAATAATGTGCTGTGTTACAAATATTTTATTGTCAGACATGTTTAAAAAGCACCCACAGGTCTGATGGGGGGGGGGGGGAGGGGATGAACTCCTTAGGATTTCTCCCTGGATCAGTCACTGAAATCTGTCACATTGATGAAAGGTGTCCTTCCTTGTCCCCCGTGACTGAAAAGCACAATTGGACTTTTCAGTAAAAAATTATGAAATGTGTTGATCACATCAATAGGGAAACTGAACAAAAGCCAATCAGTTTCATGGATGGGAATGATGTGAGATTAACTTAAAAATAATAATAATAATGTGAGTATTTATACAGGATAACCTAAAGAACTGTTATCAAAAGGGTCCTGTACTTAACTAATAAATAAATAAATAAATAACTCTAAGGAATCTAAGATTTACATTATCTTACAAGATTTTAAAGAGTCATGAGTTAATTGGATACTATTGAAAAAAACTCTTTTAAATTACTCTTAAAAAGAAACCTTGAATTGAAACTTCTTAAATGCCGAGGTAAAGTGTTGTAAACTAGAGCCCCTTGAAAGGCAAAACTTCTCCGTCCAAATTCTAATTCGACTTTGGGAAGATTTAGTGAACATCCATTGTTTCTAGTGTTAATATTGTGTTCAATTTTGGTGAAATATCCATTAAAAGGGGTACAGATGTTATCCTGAAGACAGTCAAATACAAGCTGGCAGGACTGTCTCTTTATTAGACTCTCCCACTGTCTGGACTTTATAATTTCCACCAATAACTCTCTGACTTTGACGTTCAATGCTTTCGATTCGAAAAAATCTATTCAAGCTGATTTTGAATTGGTCAGCCAAACCTTTTTCTGGTTTATCTTAAATTTATAGACTCAGAAAATTATCCTTGTTTGCCACACCTGCTTCTCTGATTATTTGCTATTAACAATATGTATCTTGTACTACTGATGGTCACTTTTTATGCCTTTGATTGTAGGGTAAACATCTTTAATAAATAATGTAAAGTGATGACCCTTTGGTCAGGAAATATCATGACAAAATTATCTGGGGCTTGGATAAAGCGCTACAGTTTCATTTCCTAGTGTAGTTAAAATAAATAGGCATTTTTTTCGCCACAAAACTTCAGTGAAAATTGAGTTTATGACAACAGCACAGTTAGCGTTAGCATGTGTTTAGTCAGGGAAAGTTTATTTTATTGTAAAAAAAGCCTTGAAATCTTTTGAAAAGATTTCCACGGACTCCATACTCATGAGTCGGAGTATGCTAAGAGTCATTTGGCTTAGTTTTTGTCAATCAGTTAGTCTTTTGATCTATAAACTCTTGTTCTCAGACCTGTTTGTATTTGACCCGGTCTGTGAAAAATTCTTTTTCAGTGGTCAGCAATGAATCGTCTAGTATGATTCTTTCTGACGACCAGAAGCGATGGGTAGTCTTTGGAAATGCTCTAAACAAGGTTGTGGTCGCACACATACAGCCGTTTGTTGAACAAGAGATTCAGAAGGAGTATGGAAATCTTCAAACCAGCCATAACATCCATACTCAGAGCTATGGAGTGCGACTCCAAAAGCGCAAAGTGACTCTACGGTATGAGAATATCAATAGAAACGACACATTACCCAGGAAACACGGCGGAAAGTACGACTATCCCACGTTTAACTATAAGGTGACATCATATATTGACTTTGCCAAGCTGTACGTGGAAAATTACATGGCCAAGTTCAACGCATTTGACGAACATTGTGATGCGTCAGCTTTGCTTGCATTGCTTGGTAAAGTTCCTGTGTTTCCTGGTGCAGTCCAAACTGCAGCTGGCAATGTAAGACCAGGAATTCCCGGCAATGTAAGGCCAGGAATTCCAGGGCACACTGTCAGTTTGGTAAGCGGGACCTAATAGGCTTTCAGCAGAGCTTTGACGAGATGAAACAGCTGGTGAAAGAACTGGGTCTGTCCGTTGCCGACGAGGATACCCTTCTAAAAGAATTAGAAGATTGGGAGAGAAAAGGTAATAATAGAGGTTAAAATTGAAAGTTTTTCCTTTTGCATTTCTTTTTATCGATGAGTCGACTTTGACCTTTAAGCTATTTTTCATTCCAACCCGCCATCCCATCGCAATGAACATTTCATCTCGATCCTGCCTGTTGCTTTAATTCATCAATGAGTTCAAATTCACCGCCTTAGTTTAGGACAAAAATATCGCCTTTTTTCTACAATATTGATAATACGTATGATGCACGATCCTCGCAGTAGAGAGCGCTATTTATGCAATAGCGAAAACCAGACCTGAAAAAAATCAGGCCTATACGGGATTCGAACCACTGACATTCGTCCCTATCCGAGAAGACTAGAATATCAGACCATTTCTTGATGTTATAGAAAGGTAGCATATTCTTCTCAATTATTTTGAGACCTTGAGCGTTGGTCCGGCCGGGGCTCGAACCCTCGACCTCCCGCACAACAGTCCAGCGCTCTATCCATTGAGCTAACCGGGGTGCGGTTTGATACAAGCTGTTATCGCAAATTTGCGTCGATGCGACTGTAAGGAAAATCATACTCAACAGCTGACTACCATGACACCTTAAGGATCATGTTCATGTTTCATCTCTCTAGTAACTGATAAGAACTGTTTGTATGTATTAAAGACCTTGATGATCGTGAATGCGATTCTTTATACTCGTGGATGTGCGACGGAAACGAACGGGTGATTTACATGGCATTCGAGTGTCAGCATGCCCTAAGGAGTCTGGGGAGAGCATGCATCGCATTAAAGACTATGGACTGGCAGGGTGGACCATGTAATTGGGGAGAACCATTGAGTGGGTGAAGGCTAATTTAGGGAGGTTTTTTTTACATGTAATGCAGCATAGCCCATCAACAAAATTTGACCTTCTTTTGATTCCTTCTTAAATCTTATCAGTTTATTTTGCAACCTGGCTGAGAAAACTTAACTACCTGTATATATAACACAGTGCACGCAAGTAAGATCATGTGTTCTTTTTCTTCTTTTATATTGAGATATTTACCCTTCACTCTGGAGTCGTGGCAGAAAGAAAACTGCTTGATACTAAAAAAAATTTAGATATTAACAGGGGAATGTAACATCTGGCCTTCAGCACTACACTACCATCCTAGTAAATTTGCAGTTGCCATGTATGACACCTACGACCATAGTTAGTAGAGGGGGACTGGGTCCCCCTCTACTAACTATGTTACGACTCAACAAACCAGTGCAAAACAACTAAGAGGTGGCCTTGAAAAAAATCAACTTGATAAGTTTTGTTGAAAAAGTGACAATCTGCTGAAGGGTTTAAATCTAAGATGGACCACCAGCAGATGTTTTCAATGATCAAACATCTGGATGTGTATCCAAGAATCTTTTTTGTAAGGAGGGGTTCAAAATTCGATTCAGAAAACATTGAATTTTTTTACTCTATAGCCTGAATAGACTTATTTCAAAATGTACCATTAATAATGTGCTGTGTTACAAATATTTTATTGTCAGACATGTTTAAAAAGCACCCACAGGTCTG